AAAAGATATATTAGCAGGAAAAAAAATACAATTAAAATGAGATGAGAATAAATCATACCAGCTTTACACACCTGTTGTTGAGGGCACCAACTCATGTAACTTCTGAATTGCTACTCCTCCAGGGTAATTGAAATACGAAACATATAAAGATGTTCCTGAATAAGCTGCATTAACTATAAGATGTATTATAACGAAGAGAGACCCAAGTTTGTATAGCCAGGATTTCCGGGAGTTGTTTAGACTAGGAAGAAGGGAAAAAAAAAAAAAAAAAAAAAAGAAGAAGAAATAATTGTTCATTTTCCCTCATATTTCAACTGGTCACTGGTTATTTTAATAGAACTTTTGTGGAAGAACTCCCTTGTAAGATAACAAAGATAAATGCAAACTTTATACAGCAGTTGTTTATAAGGAATGCACATTTATTATCCATTTCTAAAGACTAACTTCAGTGACAAATATTTAAGATTTGAATAAATATTCTCATTAATAAGTTAAATATTTCTGTGTTTGTAACCATTAGCTATAAATGTACTCTCTTTGAAGTTCAGAATTTAACTTCAATTTGTTTATTCAGTATGACCCAGCTAAAATATTTGATACAAACACCATGTTTTGTGAGCCTCAATTGTATATTAAACTATCTCCTGACAAAAGTTACAGTAATAACATAGTACTACATTGGAATGTGCCTGTCTCCTTGGTGGATAAAATAAACTGCATTGCAACATCATTTGTGACAGAAAATTAGGCCTCTATTCCTGACTCTGTCACAGACTTGCCAAATGACCCTGTCATTTCCCTCACAAGTAGAATTTGCAAAATGAGAATCTCGAGATAATCCTAGTTCCAAAATAATAATAATAATAATAAACATAAAAATAGCACATGAAGTTTTACATTATTTTATATTTTCAAGGGAGAAAAAAAAAAAAAGCAATTTCAAACTTACATTCGTGAGCAAGTTCTAGCAGCCACTATATTGAAGACTGGGAAAGTATATATGATAAACCGCAGCTCTTTGTGCGGAAGAAACGAATACAAGAAAATAAAACCCAGTGCTGGCCAAAGTAATATGCGAGTCCTCTTTTCTGCAGCACCTAAGGGTACAAATATAATGCTACATCCCAAAGCACGAGGCAAGGCTGAATAGAAATACCACAAGAACGGGGAGGTCTTCAAGATGAAAAGGAGAGTTAAGGACAATTTCATTGCTAACAAGTGTGTAAAGTAAACTATTCTTTACATTAGCCTACGTAGATTTTGCAAATACGCAGTATGTTTTTTTTTTCTGTATCACATTTTCCCAGGCATTTCATTTTCGTACTTTACTCTGAGAAAGAAAGGGTGCCTGACTACATTCACATCATGCAACAAAGCTACATCAAATAGTGCTAATGGTGGAAATGTGAACAATCAAAGGGGAAAAGAAGGGATTTATATTTGTAGAACAGGAACAAACATGAAGAATAGATCAACAGAGGAAAGTTAAAATTTAGAGAGACTTAAGGAACAGACATCACAAGTTAAAATCATTTCTACTACTCTCATCAATTACTTCATCAACATCATAACTGAATCTCAGGAATTAATTACGTGAAAGGTTTTGTTTAGCTGACATCATTCTATAGCTCCCTTTTTTCCTAAACATTCCAAAGGATACTCCCCAGTTGGAACTCTTGTTTAAAATTGTGTTATACCAGAGCACTTTCCCTTCAGGCCACACAAGTTGCCTCCAAAATATAGAGTCCACAGCAACCGTTAGTCCTAAAACAAATATAGATCTGCATGAATTAAAAAGAAAAGAAATTCAAACACACACATCCAAGCCATATGGCAAACTGGAACACACACCATAAGCCTCGCCCAAAGCCCTGAAGAAGGCTGAACCTATCTCACAACAGAAGTGCAGGGGAGGGTTGCTACACTTTGCACTTCTTGATAGAAAACTTAATTGAAGCATATTACATAGGAAACTCGTTGAGATTTTTCCAACCCCCAAGAGTCATAAACAGTGGCTTAACTAAAGTTTTTTAAAAATATATATATTAGCATGTTGAATGTAATGAATAGTAAGAAACCTGCTTTAAATTCATATGGTACTAAGTGGATTTTTGCCAAAAACAGTGATGCTTCTGGAGAAGTTGATGAGTTAAGTAAAACAAACCTCCAGTGGTTTCCTAGTATCTATTGGGACAGAGTGAAGAAGGATAATGGATGAAGAAGGATAAAAGGCACATGGACAGCAAGAGCAGGAAATCTGTCAATCCTGCTTCTTCCATTCACTTGTATGAAAATTGCTCTGGTATTTTGCAAGTTCACAGGGTGAGAGAATGGGAGTACGGGTGACTCATTTCTGTTGGGCTCCAAGCTCTTATGCTATGAGGAAACTTCCAATGGGCACAGAATGATCTTTCACTGCTTCTGCTGCCCGCACTGGAAGAGGCAGCACACAGCCAGAGTTTATCACCAGACACTTGTCAACAGCGTTTGTAATTAGGGCTGTCTCAGACAGACTGGCACCCTCTCAGAAGCTTAGAATATTTACATGCATATGCACAAGTCTTTCACAGACAGGTAAAACTAAGGAGATTTTTCAACCTCTCCAGCATGGGCCATCACCAAAGGCACTAAAATTAATGCATAGATGCCTGAAGAATTTTCTTTAAAACTTTGAGAATTGTCCATAATACTAAACTGTGACTGTCCCCACCATCTTCTTGCTCCATAATCCTTTGTGCCTTGCTGTGTTATATTTTATCCTAGGGTTTAGCTTCTTATCATGAAAATAGATACTGGATATAGTTTATAATGTGCAGGCAACTAGGAATGGAAACTAATGATATTAAGTTGTACTTAGATATCTAAGCCTTTTCAAGGCCAGGACCTAATACTATAAGCATCTAAAATCAAGGGTCTTGGTATCTTTCTACAGTTTTGGGTACAAGTACTTCCTCACAAAAAAAAAAAAAAAAAAAAAAAAAACACACACACTCTTGTAATAATACTACTAAATGGAACTACAGGCAAACAATACCTAAGAGAAGGCAGGCAAATCTTTACCGTACTATATATGGAAAATTCTAAATATTTCAAAAGATTTAAGACTTCAATTGGATTTCATATTCAACTTTGTTTTTTCCCCACAGACAAACACTTACCCAGCCAAAACATTCCAGCGGGAACAGCATGGGAAAGCACCTTTAAAACTGAGACTCTTTTATTCAGTAATGTCACCAGAAGCATGAGGCCTAGGAATATACAGAGCTCTGATCTGAAGACTATAATTGCCAAAGCTGAGAACCAAATGAACAGCCTTAGCTTTTGCTGTATCCAAAATGTCAATGCCAGGAGCACTGCAAAAAAAAAAATAAAAAATAAAACAAACCACCTGACACACTGAACATCTTCACTGTTTGTTTCCTGCAGGCAAATGCCTCCCTTAATTCATGTTCTTGTTCCTCTGTTTTCATTCCCTTCGCTACCTAATGCTTCCTAGCACGTCTAGTCCAATAATTTTCCCTCTGTGAGAGGAATGTAATTTGGAATAATGTGCAACATTCCATCATTGATGCTTAACTAATTAGGAGAAGTGTAATCACGGAAAGAATTTGAGAGTTCTTCCTGGATAGTTTATTTAATAGCTTTCTAAACAAGACCAAACTTAAGAGTACTAAAAGTTTTTCAAACAAAGATTTGTGATTATTATTGCTCATCGTCAGCTGGTGAGTTTATTCTCTTGGCTGAGTATATCCTGTATTAATGCTAATGGCAATGCATTTGAAGTATAAAAAGAGAGTACAGGCAACTGCTCAGGAAGAAGGAACTATAAATCCGTATGTGTGGTTAGCTGGAAATCTCTACAGATGGAGATTTCTCCCACTTTTTCCACAGTTTAAACCACATGGTAATACTGCTTATATTGTAAAGTGGTCATGATCTTAAGGAAAATGCAAGAGAACAACAAAAATGGATTGTATGTGAAACAGTAGTAGTAAAAAGAAAAACAAACATACAAAACGTGTTTTAATACCTGGAATACCTAATGGTCTGGAAAAAATACCACTACACAAGATTTATCTGACAATTCAGCTGTTTTTTGTTTGTTTTGTTTGTTTTGTTTTGTTTTTAAATTTGACCTAAACAGGTTCCTAACCCAACCTCATGATTTTAATAATGCTTCACTGGAAGTTTTTTAAGTGACTCAACTAAAATCTGTCACATGTGATTAATTTTTCCTCATTATCATCTCTGGGGAAAAACTATATGAGTAGGTTAAGCTTAGTTTTGAGTCTGTATACTTCCAGTATGGGAGGGAGGGAAAATAAAACTCTAGAAAAGGAAGAGGGAATTTGTTCTAGTCTCATGAGAAAACTGTTTTCCGCACAGACTGTATTTTTTTTTTCAATACAGGTGTACCAGCAACTTTTCAACAGATGCATATTTTATGTATCACTTATGTTCTCGAACCCTTGGGTAATCAAATTCATCTGATTAAAAACTATGTATATTCAGATTCAGTAAAAAATATGACTAAAGTCATTTTAGGCACATGCTATAATAAAAACACAACTTAAATTTTCCACCTTAGTTATCACATAACCTAGTCACCAAGTACATACATTAGTCTGACTATATATTTTCCATGTTTCAATTATCAATTGGAAAATAATATTGATATGTAGATACTTACCAAAAGGAAGTGCAAACACATTGGGAAGGGTTCGTGTACAGTAGAACATCAAGTGAAACTGAGTAACAGTTATGAGACAGAAGACTGTTGATGCAGTTGCTCCAAACTGCTTTCTAACTTCTTTTTGTAGCTTCCATAATGCGTAAATCACACTGAGCCCCAAAGTTCCTCGGACTATTGGAAGAATAAAGTGTGAAATTAAAGTAATATCAGATTGATTGCTGAAGGACAAATGTTTCCATACTGTAATGGAAAAAAGGTACAAAACCCACCTTAAAGTTACCCAAGTTAGGTCTACCTAATTTAATTTCTATTTTAAATAGCTCTATACTTTTGCACAAAAGACAATGCTTCTCCACTCAAATAAAACAGTGTAAGTGCTGGGAGAGTATTCTGTGAAGACACTTTTCCAACACTGTTAGACATATGTTATCTTATGTTATCTTATTTTATCACAGAAGTTTTTTTGTGTTGTGAGTTGGTCCCCAACCATTTCCCCCACCAAAAATAAGGGGGGCGTGGGGAGAGCTAAAATTGCCATGTTGGTAGTAACTACACTTCTACAGTTTGCAAAATCCCTCAGTAAGAAAATATCATGTTTTAATACATGCATATCATGTTTTAAACATTGATCCAAACACTGAATGTTACAACGTTACATATTAGGCCAAAAGAAAAAATATCTGTACTCTGACTGGAAAGTTCTCATACCTATTAGCTGGGAGTAGAACTTGGACATTTGTAATACTGAAAGTACATATATAGCTGGGCTGGAAAGAGCAGCAATAAAAATCGGTCCAAGGAACGTTCTTGGGACAACTCCAGGAAATTCATGATGATCATACTGCAAAAAAGAAAATTTCAGTAAGATAGGCAAACAAAAAACGAAGGAAAATTGGGACAAATCATATTCCTATTGCCATGTTCTTGTACATGAATAATACACGAATGATACATGCAATCCTCAACAGAGTACTAGAAGAAACAACTTACCTTATCCAAGTCTAGACGATGGTACACAACGTCGTGAATCGCTTGCAGGTTAAAGCTTTCTTCCACTTTTGTAAAGGGGCAGACAGTTAAATGTACAAAGGCCACAACAATAATGAGCAGCAGCCATGGGAATGACCACCTCCTAGAGCTCCTCTTCTGAGGCATCCTGAGTTTGAAATTCACAAAGATTCTGTCAGCTCTGGAGATTAAAAGAAAAAGGAAACCCACTAGCATCACAGCACAATGTGTACAAGCAGAAAAGATAAATAAGCTTGATTCGTAAGCAAAGTCAAGACTGTAAAAGAAGGATAAACAATGAATAGTGAAAGAAATAATTTCAAATCAAATAATCAAAAATCAAGTAATCAAAATGCCTTTTTCTTAAAAAAAAAGTGAGAGACTAACATCCCTGTGACAAGACAGAAGCTACGAACCTACTTAAGAAAGTATTTCCAGCACCAGGCCAGTACCACGATCAGTGCTGAGAGCACCATCTCATTTAGGTCTGCTTCATGGGAGCACGGGCTTTGTAATTTGCTCTCATTTTAATCCTTCCCTGGATTTGTACATGATCTTTAGAACTTACTCTCTTTTCTCTAGGACTCTGAAATTAGTAGGAGAGGAAGCGTGAGGGTGAGAGATGGTTCAGGATAACAAACAGATGCTCTGAACTTGTGAGCTCCCGAGTCTGCAGGGGCCACGTCTGGACTCAGCAGGTAACGAAGACGCCCTGGCCCGCGCAGCACAGGCCATCGCATCATTCCTGTGTGACTGAGCACCAAACCCAAACACAACCCCTCACGCTTCGCTTGGAAGGAAGGGCCATCCATGCCTAGCACTCAGCTTCACAATGCTGCACTGAACCATCTTACTGTATTACTTAGATGTTGTCACGAATACAAAAAACATTGATATTTTAACAGCTTGTCCTTTTAAGCTTCAAATGATGTACTAGTAAAGGGACCATCCTTTTGCATGAAAATTTGTAGGTAATCTAGTTCATGTTTTTTAATTTTTCTAAGTTTTTTTTCTAACTTTACAGTTTAGTAAAATACAGGATATTTCAAATACTGTTATTCTTGTTCTGTTCTCACAGAAACATTCGTAACAATAGCACCTATATAAGGTACAACTGGGATTTTGGATAGAGACGTTTTTTCCTATGCTTTGGTCTAAGCATGTCCATCAAACAGATGCAAGACAGTTGGCAGATTTATCAGGATCACTTGCAAACTGTTCCCTAGAGTTTCTTTTTCCCCTAATGGATAGATTTATCCTGCTCAATACTAAAAATAAGGCAGATAAAGAGCTTTTTTTCCACTGGTAACATACATAAATCCCAAAATGTGTGTATTCACTGTACATTGCATATATCCACATAATACAGTATATATTACACTGTTAACATTTCTTTTTTCTCATAACTGTTACAGACCATAACTAAAGCTTTAGACCAAGCCAGCAAATTCTGCAGTCACTCTTTATGATTTTTGGCTTGTTCTGCAGCATTAAGAGTCTAAATAAATACCCCCATGAAGTGGGAATAAGTCTTTTTAAACTGTGCCTAGTATTACTTCTTTAAGAGGATGGATAAAAATGGGTTATGCTACAACTGCTTTTTCCACAGCAGTAGTAAATGAAGTTTTGGACCATCATCAGTGCAACTCTGAGAAGTGCTTGGCATGAGTTAAGTCTCTGCACAGTGCAATTTATCTCGTACAAAACCTTGCCTCCAGCAAGCTCTCTTACTGAATTCTTCCAATAAATAAAAAAGCATCTTACATTTCTGGCCAAATTTGCTTGAGAGAAAAATGGACAGTGAAGAATCCATCTACACCAGGTTACACAGCAACAGAGCCACCCAGAGGGCCCGAGTTTCACATGAAATAGGGGGTAGAACCCAATAGCAGGTAGCATAGGTCAGGCACTCCTCAGTCAGGAGCCTCTGCTTCCCAAAATTTCAAGCATTTCAGGACCTTTGCAGAAGGGCTCAAGTCCTAAAAGCTATTTTTCTCAATCCTAATAGAAAGATATTACCCTCACCTGTAAACACTGCATTGATAATACTCTGGCCAGTCTATGATACCAAATATTCTTACCTCTTTAATTATCTCCACATATACTATTAATCCCTGGTTTTCCAAATTTTCTGAATGACAGTGAACACGGATATCCCATACATGGTTTATCACAAGGATTTTTATCTTGTTGACTTAAATCCTACTTCACGCCTAAAGAAAATGAGCTTGCCAGCAAACTCAGATACTTTGAAGATAATTATATGCATTGTACACACTGCAGTTCCCTAAAGGGAAACACTTTAGAAGATTAAAAGGCAAAGCGCAAAGACAACAACTAAGCCTCTGAGATAAAAACTATAAATTTAAGTATCTTGTCAAGTTTCAAGATAATTTGCTTAGTCAAAAATAGATGTTGGCAAACCTCAAGATTCAAGTGGAGTTTTTCAAGACAGTCAGGTAGATATTGGATTTAAAATTTAAAACAAGTTTTCAACATAAAGGCAAAATATCTGTAGCTGAAGGTTAATATTCTCAAAAAAAAAAAAAAAAAAAAAACACCCACACACACACACACTCTCTCTCTCTTGAGAAACGGGGAAACAGACCTTTACTTAATGAAGTTTTTTTTTTTAGTAATGAAGGTGATACGGCTGTCAGTTTGATCCATCCTTAACACTCTGACCTCCCTTAGAAGAAACTTCCTCAGGTCCTTACAGCACTGCCACGTGTATTTTTTGTCAGATGTTGACATGGAATCCCAAGATAGGAGAGATTTTCACCACAAACAGTATTTAGCACAGTTTTTTTTTTTTTTTTTAAAGAGCTGAAACAGTTTCATTAAAAGTGGCTGATGCCCCCACTTTGTCTGTGGAAGAATCTCAAGAATGTACATTTTATTCGTTCCATGAAAGCCTACTAAATATGAGTAACTTGAATTTTTTTCAGACATGCTCAATGTGAATATGTTAGCGTCTGGCAGCCAAACAGCATGTTAAATCAGTCTAGGAAAACTGTATTATGCCTTCTCACATTTGAAATGTGGCACAGAAGTCTCTCTATACGCCACCAAGAGAATCTCACAGCTTCTTACCTTGACCTAGCTTGGGTGAAGCTTCCATTTTTGTTTTATTTTTGTTTGTTCTTATAAAATCTGCTTTAAAGGTAATTTCTGGATGAGATTGAATTTAAAGTCTTTAGTTGTTGGGATGACCTTTTCATCTTTTCCAAGAAAGAAAACGACACTTGCTATTCTCAGGCATGTTTCCACCTGAGTTTTCTGACTGGTTAAAGGTGGGTGGGAAAACAGAAATTGTCCCAGGGAAGGATATTTGGGACAGCACCAACTGGAGAAGTAGCTGGAAGCTACATAGAAAATATCATCCTTGGAACTGGAGAAGAGAAACGCAGAATTCTCTTAAGTCAAAAAATAGATGTGTGGAAGCTTAGCTGGACTGCTAGGGCAAGCAGCCTCCCAAAGCTCTCCCAGAAGGATGTGTCCGATCTCCCCCTAGTGGCCTTAAGGGACAGGAACCGACCACAACCCGCTGTCACCTGCGGCAGCAGCTCTTGGTGGAAGGAACTACCTGCAGCCACACAGACATTCCCACGTGTCCCTGAATCCTTCTGCCCTGTCCTTCCTCGAGGCCGCAATAAGTGATAGCCACAACGGGCAAAAATGCTGAAGCCACCAAATTACTCAAAACCCTAAGAAACACAAAATTAAGCTTGCTGATAAACAGACTAACTTGCACAGCTTTTCTAATATTTAGGACTATTTTTAATTACCACCTACATTTCCCTCCCAAAGTGCCCATGATGCTCAGTAGTCACTAAACGGATAGTTACATCAGGTATCAGTATCTCAGGGCATGTTAATCATATCTTCTGTATTGCATGCTTTCAGTCCTCAATCTAAACAGAGAGTAACAAAATAGCCCTTGGGAGTTTTGTTTTTTTTTTTTTTCAAGTATATTTTTGAATGCTGCTGACTCCCGTGAATGAATCTCGCTTGTTAAATACTTTTATCATATAGGCTACGGGGACATCACTCCAATTCTACAAGTGTGAAACTGAGTCAAAGAAATAATAACCACTAACAAAAATCAGTAACTAACCCGAGATTGCAATACTGGAAAAAAAAATCTGCTGATAATAACTAACGACTGGACAATACACAACTATTACAAGCTATTTTAAAATACTTTCTGCGTAACTTTAAGCGTTAAAAAATAGGCGGCTCCAGGCAGGCTGACAGGTTGGGCACTCAACAGCTTATTTGCACCGCTCCTAATGCACGTTATGAGCAGCCCCTTCGGGCCAGGCCCATCACGAAGGATCTTTCCTGGGAGCGGGAGACTACGCGGGAGACATCGAGACTACGCGGCGAGCCCAGAGTCTCCAGCAAAAGGACCGAGGCAGCAGCGCGCAACAGAGAACGGAAAACACGCAGGGAAAACCCATCCAGGCGCCGCCGCGACCGTTACCGACCGTTACCGCCCCGCACTCACCGCCTGCGCGTCCACGTGGCCGCCCCGCAAAGGGCGCCGCCGACGTCACGTGACGCTCCACGGAGAGGGGGCGG